ATGATACAAAACGACCCTGAAAATCCCAGGTCGCTAGCTCAATTTGTTCCTCGCCTAGGTACCGTCAAAGTGTCTAATGCCGGACCAGCAGGGTAAATCCAGGACACTGCTTTTATGTATTTTTACAGCAAATTACACAATGTAGGTTCATAATTTAGATAGATGCTTTTCCGGGATGCTCTGGAGATGAAAATAATCAGTAGTTTCATATTTTAGAGCCGCCCAGAGCAGTGCAATTTGAATAATAATAGGACCCGACCAGTACATACACTGTGGAGCGGTACTTCAATGCGTGTGCGGCATAGGCCTAGCACCATTGCTAGGCCACGGTCACTATATACAGCTTCAACGTCACTACGCTGGAGTCGAAAATTTTCAATATCCTGCGGACTTTTGTGCGTCGTATTGATTTTATGGTATTTCACTCGATCTCTCACTTACAAATCTTAGTTAAATATGCACTAAATTTTCAATTTTGACAAAGTCCTGTGAGGTAATGATTGTTGTACACATTCTTATGGGGTATTTTGCGAAACCAATGTCCTTCCACTGAAATAGCACTGACTTTTGCAGAAGTTGCTTAACATCTGAAATGGACCAATTTTGCCTCGAAAATTTCAATATCACAAAATTTCAATAGCACTCTGGTTCCGCAGTTACGGGTTAAGTTGGTGTGTACTGGCACGCAGCTGCAGTGGAGTATTGGTATATCGACCACTTCTACTGCCATTTAATAGCATAAATAGGGACTGTCCGGATTTGCCCCGACTTCGGGTTTAAATCCGGACGGGGTTTCAGAGGCTTGTGCAGGTGAACTGGAGCAAAAAAAAATTCCTCTCGAGATGGAAAATATGTATCTTGGCGCCTAGCTTCTAGAATCCGCTGGAATTTTTCATACCCCTACCGGTTTTAGAAGTATTGAGGAAAAACGGTCAAATTCGTCCGGAATATGACACTTTGACGCTATGTGTCCGACACATTTTGATTCTTTGTATTCTGCTTCTCAAATCGTTATAATGGTCTATTGGATGAGACGAAGGAATGCCTTCATGACATGCCGTGCTCACGACGCAGGTAAAGCAAAAACCAACCTGCGATTCCCACCGCAGCTATCCTGTGCACGCTAGGTGCGCTCGTAAGTCAGTGGCTTGGCCATTCGCACACACACACACACACACACACACACACACACTAACAATTAGGCCCGACCTTAGAATAAACGACGATAGCAGCTCATTATTATACCAACACTGACTCAGTCAACAAAAACTGTTCTTTGGTCTGGCGTACATTAGGGTATTTTGGGCTTTTTGATTTTGATTTTTGTGACAGGCCAATTTTTAAGATATAGGGCTGATACACTAAAATTACACTAAAATTTTTAGGTGCCTAACACCGTTCTCGCGCCATCGTGATGACAAACAGACACACAGACAGACACGAAACTTTTTAATCATTACTGGAGTATAACAGGCTTCGGCTTCGCTGATCGCTCAGCCAATAACATTTTTGATAGGACTAGGTAGATGTACATACGATAGGGTAAGTCGTATATCGCTTATTTTTGATTCTTGGGTTGAGTGTTTTCCAGACACCATTTTGGATGAAAACTCCTGCAAACATATTTTAAGTTTCTTCCTTTAACGTTTTCATAACCCTACCTTGCCTGTTATTCTGGCCTGCCATAAGAGGTGGTTTTAAAAACCTCAATTTTAGGCGTATTTTTTTCTGGCTGAGATAGAGCCTTCTCCTTAAAATTTTCATCCAGAGGAGCGTAAAATTGCGTGTTTCGTCAAGAAAAAAAATACGCCCGAAGTTGAGGTTTTTAAAACCACGCCTTGTGGCAGGCCAGAATAACAGGCAAGATAGGGTTATGAATACGTTAAAGGAAGAAACTTAAAATATGTTTGCAGGAGTTTTCATCCAAAATGGTGTCTGGAAAACACTCAACCCAAGAATCAAAAATAAGCGATATACGACTTACCCTATCGTATGTACATCTACCTAGTCCTATCAAAAATGTTATTGGCTGAGCGATCAGCGAAGCCGAAGCCTGTTATACTCCAGTAATGATTAAAAAGTTTCGTGTCTGTCTGTGTGTCTGTTTGTCATCACGATGGCGCGAGAACGGTGTTAGGCACCTAAAAATTTTAGTGTAATTTTAGTGTATCAGCCCTATATCTTAAAAATTGGCCTGTCACAAAAATCAAAATCAAAAAGCCCAAAATATTTCTGCTAAGAAATCTCTGTCTCTCTCTCTCTCTCCACATACACGGGTGGCACGTAGTCGAAAACGGATCTGCGGCGTTCCAGGCGTCGTACCTCCAGTGTGAATGATGCTACACTCAAAACAAGGGCATCATTAACTGCAGTAGACCATGGGCCTCCAATTACTGAGAGGGTGAGATTTCTTAGCACATTGGCTTCAGAGGAGATAGCTTCGCCAGCCAGCGCGGCACACATTTCAACGTACTTAGTTGCTACTCCATTATAGTTCTACTCCATGGCGAGACGCTGTCTGGCGTAAGTACATCTTCCTAGTTGGCTGAGCGATTAGCAAAGCCTATTACTCCAGTAATGATAAAAAAGTTTCGCGTCTCCCTGTGCGTCTGTGTGTTTCTCTGTCATCACGATAGCTCAAGAACGGTCTGAGCTAGGTACGTTAAATTTTTATTGAAACTTTGTATTTTAAAAAGCAAGAACTGTATTGATTTTGGGCTCTCTAGCTAATTGACGGGTCAAAAAAGTAATAACAAGCTAGGCCCGCCCCCCGCCCTTCCGCCAAACGAAGTTGCCAGCCTCACTTCGCTCCGCAGGCAACTCCGTTCGACAGGGGCCGGGCCTAGCTTGGCCTGCCGGCGGCGTTATTTGGTCGGGCCTGCGGCCCGTCCTATAAGCACTTTGCATTTGAGTAAACTACGGCTTCCGGGAGACCTGCGGCCCTAAAGATTTGCTCCTTGGGCTTGAGAAAATACTGTAACGGGGCAACACCGTGACTACACCCCACCCTTCTGCTTTTCAAAAGAACAATAAAAAAAGAATAAACAGCCGCAGTGTTTGGAGTGAATTGTTTGACAAACAGTCTTCAAACTTGACAATTTGTCATTGTTTTAAATATATCCACCTCTAGCTTCGATATAGTTAAAGATACGGCAAATACGAGGGCAGTTCCCGACCCAGAATATGCAGTTATGGGGGGGGGGGGATGGGGGTACTTCCTCTGACATTTTACGATTAGACGCCTCCTTCTACGTTTTTTTGTGCAACGTGGTCATTTTCGCCGTATTTTTGGCGATAAACCTACTCTAGCCCAAACGGTGCAAGATAGAGCCGAACGGACAAACTTTTTGCGCGTAGGGTTCTACTTCCACGAGTTACCCTCTACGAGACCTTAATTATTTTTTTTCTACATTTTGGACCACTCTCTATTTCTTTGTTACCCCTTTCCACCTTTCCATCCACCCCCTTGGGAATGGTTGCCAGGATTTGCACCAGGCGTTTCGTTGTCCAGGAGTGACCCCTAAGATAACCTAAAATTTGTAGACCTCTAGTTCATCTCCTTCCTCCTTCCGGACGACGGACAGACACGAGAGCGATTGCATAAGCCTGCTTTAATGCTTTTTTAAGAGCATAAGGGCGGGCTAAAAATACACGCTGAAAACTGATTTTTAAAAATATTGGTCTTACATCTTTCTTCGGGGTAATAGGGTACCCCGCTCTGGGCACCGCGGCGGTTGCAGAAGAAGTCAAGAAGCACAAAAGCGGGGCCTATTTTCAAGTATTTCAGTCCCCCCCCCCCCCCCCAATGCCCCTGTTCTTAACTCCTGCTTCTCTGGCCTTCCATCTGTACATCACTGTGTTCTCTTAAACGTTACACCTGATAATTTCAGCACACTAACGACTAAAGCTCAGCCACTACAGGCTGCTCACGTACTCCTACGTTATTTTTTGTTCATTTCCAAAGCAGAAGGTTGGGGTCTAGTCACGGTGTCACACCGTTACAGTCTTTTCTCATGTGCAGGCAGCTAATCTTTAGGGCCGCAGCCCCCTCTCCCGAGGGGGAAATCACTAGGGTTCGTAGCGTATGGACTATTTCGTGGTATTTCTCCTACCATTTCAGTTATTTCTCCTGCCATTTCGGCTATTTCCCGCCTATTTCGGATTATTTCAGACTATTTCGCGCTATTTCGGAGGGGGTTTCAGAGGCTTGTGCAGGTGAACTGGAGCAAAAAAAAATTCCTCTCGAGATGGAAAATATGTATCTTGGCGCCTAGCTTCTAGAATCCGC